GGGGGGGGGGGGTCACACCTCATCTACTTTGAACCCTTTACAGGAGTGAATGCCTAACAAAGAAAAAATTTAATAGTAAAAAATTCAAGAAGAAATTTTTAATTATAATAATATACTGTACGGTCTTTTTTTAAAGTACATAAACATCTTTCAGGGCTGGGGGTGGAAAGGAAGAAAGGCATCTTAAGTATTACCATTTCAAACTAGTTATCCTTCAAGGGCTAAATATTTACTCTAGAAATACTGAAGTCCTTTTTGGAATTGCCTTCGGGAACGAGTACCTGCCACACAATAAAAGTATCATTACTTTATAGTCGTATCTTAGTAATTAACTAGAAATCCTACCACCCAACTTCCTCTTCATAGCAATCCATTGTATTGGGCAGTCACCATATTTGCCTTTGACTGTCTCAAAGGATCAAGACTGTTTATGACTGTGATTATGGCACCATGCAGAAGGAGGAGTCATGGAGGCCCAGGATGTGTAATCACACTGACGAAAGGCACTAGGGAAGGGTTATGCCACATAATACGTAAGTATTTTAACAAGTAGCAAGGACACACTAATGGGTGACAGTTGAATAAAAGCCTGGTGGGTCTACTAGCATTCAGATGACCTAGCATCTACGGTTCTTGATACAACTTAGGTTCTACCCATGGGGAAGCCTGTACCAACACAAGTGTCCACAGCAACTGGCCCCCAATTTCACTGTCTAGTCACCAGCCTCGGGGGCAGCAGAAATGCTAGCACAGCATCTGTAAAACAGCCATGGTGGTTTGCTTTTAAATGAAGCCAAATGTGCAGGTTGACCCCTTGAATTTTGTTCTTCCAACCCTCCCACCAATTTTGTACACACTTAATTCGCTGTATTCAATCCCTTTTTGGTTGAAAGAGTGGTTCCTATTAGTTGCACTAAACACTATGTAGAATCCAGTATCCTATATATTTGTTAAAATTTTCTGAAAGAACAGAGTACACTGCAACAGAGCCCTGGGACTTGACCTGTTTATTCATGCATTTCCCTAGTTATCTATTTTTACATCATTTCAGAGTATTTGTAATAACATGAGGTTGGAAATCTAATACAGTGCAGTAAATACAATCCCATGGCTGTCACTGAGACTTGTGGCTTTGGGAGTCATGAATACAATATGGAAATGAAAATATACACAACTTCCCAAAGAAAGAGAAATGTGGGGAGTCTGCACTATGAGTCAAAAAGGAGACAAAACTGTATGGAAATCTATGAGTCTAAGAGTAGAAACGTAACCAATGTTTCAAAGATTAGAGCTGTGCTATCCATTACAGTGGCCACTACTGAGCATTTGAAACATAGCTAGCATGGATGAGGAAATAAATTTTCATTATTAATGTAAAACAGGGCAACTTGCATTTTATTATTTCACAATAATTAATTCTTAACATATTTGGGATATATTAAGTCAAATATACTAAAATTAATCTTACCTGCTTTTAGATTTTTTAATGCAGCTCTAGAAAACTAAAACTGCATATGAGGGTTGAAATTATGCCTCTATGCATCAGCACTAAATGAGAGCACTTTAGTAATGCCACACTGGGGGTAGGGGGATGCTTGCCTACCCAAACAGTAGGAAGATACAGATACAGTGGTACCTCAAGTTTTGAATGTACTCTGTTCCGGAGACCATTCGAGTTCTGAAACATTCAAAAACTGAGGGATCAACAGACGACAACTGGGCCTCAGGATCTTGCCCTCAGTGGAAGCCTTGTGGCGTGTTCGACTTCTGAGGTGTGTTCGAAAACCGAAGCATTTACTTGCAGGTTTACGGTGTTCATAAACCAAAATGTTTGTCAACAGAGACATTCAAAAACCGAGGTACCACCGTAATACTAAACCGAGTTAGGAAACTGGCCCAGGTACATAATATAACTCATACTTGTAAAAAGAAGACAAGATGGATGAACTGCCACACTTGAAAAGAATGGAAAATTCAAAGTAAAAATTCTGGTTACAGAACCATAGGTAAAATTAATGAGAAAAAAATCAGATATGCATCTTAAATATGTGCTGAGTTCCAAGTTCTCAATAGTACATAAGCACATAAAAGAGAAGAAAGCAGGAAAGAAGGGAGGGAATATAAATTCATCCACTCATTTTCTTAACGCCTCCCACATGCCAGGGATACAAGAGTACCAAACAAAGTCTAGGTTCCAGTGAGAGGAGACAGATCTACAAACACACATGGATGCACTCGTTAGTAGTATGCGCAAAGAAGAAACTTTGCACTTTTAGGGCAAGAAAAAGTGATAGGGGAGGGCAATGAATGTGAACCAATGGAGTCGGCAAGCAAGCTCACAATACCAGCACAAGAGCCGAACTGGAATTTTCAATATTCCTAAAAACAAAATATGAAAACCAGTGGTGATGGTGTCGGTGAAGGAGGAAGAAGAGATTTGCTGTTGTTTGTTTTTTGGGGTTTATTTGGCGAGCCTCAATTTTAATTTTTTTTATTATTGACACTATTGTAGATGTCTCCTTTTCCCTTCCCTTTGCCCCCCCTCCCCCATCCCCCCAGCCTTTAACACATTGTCTGTGCACATAGGCTATGCATATATGTTCTTTGGTTCATTTCTTCCAGCCCCTTCTACCCATCTCCCCTCGGAGATCTGTCAGGCCCTTCCATGCATCCATGCCTCTGGTCCTATTTTGTGCGTCAGGAAAAAAAGAAAGAGGTGCTGGTTTTGAAAGCGTATTTGGATCAAGGAGGAAATAAGAAAGAACTAGAAGTTGCCAGGTGAAGGTGGGGAAGTAATGCTGCTGTACCCTTTGGTACATAACAAGACCTTAAGTATTTGCTGAGTGAGGAAGCAGAGAGTGAGTCAGTGAGTGAGTGATTTAGCAGAGACAAGTTAAGCTATTCAATGACAGCTATACACTTGTCCTTCTAACAAGAATAATCTCAGTAGATTGTAAACAGTAGTAGTGATTCTCAAATTTGAGCATGAATCAGAATCACCTAGAGGGCTTGTTCAAACAGTCCCCTAGGCCTCAACCGTAGTTTATGCTATTCCAACAAATTACCAGATGGTGTTGATGCTGCTTTGGCTGGTCCAGGGACCACCTTTTGAGAATCACTATTGTAGAGGAAAGCAAACCAGTAAGAGACGTAGTTGTCCTAAAACACTATAAAGCTCTGGGCAAGTGTAAATGAAATCCCAGAAAAGCAATTATGATTGCACAAACTATCACCATACAACTCACAGTGAGGCACCCAGTCCCAAAGTTCTGTATGGGCAGTCTTCCACCTTTATCAATAACTTGTGAAGTGAAAGAAGGTGCTTACAAAATGTACACAAAGCTATAAGAGTCAGCTAATGACAAATACAAACTTGTAATAAGTAATAGGCTGGGGAAGAGAATTCATATCTAAGAGGGATAGATGTAAAAAGGCATATAATGTTTCTCCCCTCCAAAAAATCAACTGTCCAAGCATGAATGCAGGGAAGCTGGATGGGGAAATTTTAGATGAAAAATGGGGAATTTTAATGACTGTATATTAGCTCAATGTGAGGCAAACAGATGAGGATGATCTGAAACACTAAGTCAAGACTAAGCTACATTAAAAGGAATAAAAGTAGTGGGTCCACTATTCAGAAGCCTCACCAGACTAATCTCTTCAAAGAGCTCCAAACTTTCCCCTCACCCCAAGGATTAACAATGACCGATTACCTCAACTACAAGAGAGGTAGCTTGTGAACTGACTTTCCAGCGTAGGAAAATGGGGCCCAGGAATAGGAAATTGATTGCCTGTTATGTAAATTGAGGACCTTAGCTTTTCCTAGCCTTTATAAGGGGTGAGACTGATTAGTTCTGCATATGATCGCCTTTTGCAATTCGAGTACTCCCATCTTTGTCAGCACAAAGAAAATTTACATTTATTTTTAGTCTACCTGGTTGGATAAATCTGGGCTTTTTCTTTTGTACACACCTCCACACACACACACTCTTTTTACATCTCCAGTGTGCTGGCTACCCCCTTTCATTTTGAATGTTTTCATCCAAATCGTACTGCCTGCCCAATCCAGAAGAGCCAGGTCAGCAAGATGAGCTATGATGATGCCACAGGGCAGAACACCCATTATTATAACATTAGACAAGCTAACGGGTGCTGCCTTCTTCCCCTAACAAAGCCCTGTCAACAATTTTTTAATTATTTTTAGTCAATGAGAAATTATGAAAAGGCATCCCCCCCTCCTTCAAACACAAACCGATTTTATTTTTCCCGACCCCTCCCCCAGCCTACACAAACCTTTGTTGGGGAGAGGAGGGTAAATAGAAGAAACTGAATGGCCCAAAGAGTCAGTCTCCTCACATTAGCATTTGTTCTCCTCTATTAATATTCAGTAGGTTGAACTTAAATTAAACCACGTCTATTGTCTTTCACAAAAGCAATAAATATGAGCTGAAAATCCAAATCACCGCAGTAAAGGCAGCCTAGGGACTGCCTGCAACCTCAGCTAGTCACCATCAGCTGACAGGAGCAGCATGTCACAGGCCTGAGACCACGCACCCACCGTGGCAGTGCCCGATCTCACAAGCTGAGAACCCCAAGGAAATCAGGTACAACAGAACCTGCCACCAAATTCAGGACGTTTTCATCCCATCTTCCAAATTAACAAGGAATGAAAAGGTGGAAGGCATACACTAAAACCGTCTTCTTTCTAAGCCTGGAACAGCAGCAGCAAAGGGGAATAAAAATTCCTGCTCTTGAT